GAGAGAGAGAGAGAGAGAGAGAGAGAGAGAGAGAGAGAGAGAGAGAGAGAGAGAGAGATCATAAGAACGGCTCTTGCTTTTTTCGCCAGCCCCAGGCACTGGGGGCTTGCAAGGGAGAGAGTGACTCCTGCCTCCCACTGTCATCATCATCTTCTTCTTTTGGGTTAGTGAATCAATTAATTTGGGAAACGATCTCACTATCATGAAAGTCATTGTTCTCTGCCCGTGGGGCGTTTGGAAGAAAACGCCTCGCGGCATATCCACACGCATGTAAGGGGAATCAGAAATCCCCGCGTTCAATGCCTAGCACGGCAGAAGAGAAAACGCAGCTGTGAGCAAATACTGCGAAAACCTGATTGATCAGAAGGAAGGAGGCAAAAGAGGGAGGGGTGGTGGTGGACGGAGGTCCCACTGGTATTTGTGAAACACTCGGTCGGCAGCGCTTAAAGTCAACGTCCTCGCTCCCACCCACCCACCCAAAGCCACGAAGTCCCCCAATCGCGCAGCCCAGAATCGCCCTCCCCTCAGGGGGCAGCAACGACGCCCGGCGTTTCCCGAGACAAGAAGCTCCGCCATGCAATGAAAGCGCCCTGGCTCTAGGCTCGTGGGCTCAGAAAACAATGCGAGCCGAGGTGGCTTCGGCTCCGCTTGGCTTCGTTTCCTCAGCCCCAGCTGCTTTCAGTCTGCTCGGGAGGAGGAGGAGGTGGTGGTGGTGGCTCGCGTTTTTTTCTGAGCCCGCGAGCCTAGAGCCAGGGCGCTTTCATTGCACGGCAGAGCTTCTTGTCTCAGGAAACGCCGGGCGTCGTTGCTGCCCCCTGAGGGGAGGGCGATTCTGGGCTGTGCGATTGGGGGACTTCGTGGCTTTGGGTGGGTGGGTGGGAATGAGGACGGACGGAGTCCGCGAAGTGGGGCTTGCCTGCCCTTGCTGGCTGCCTCTGCTTCCTTAGGGGCGGGGAAGGGGGCTTATCTGGACCAAGGGTGAGTCTCCCCCTCAGTTTCCCGAAGGATCTTCCATCGCTTTTGCCTTCTCCCACGTCTTCCCTCTGTTAAAATCCCCCCCCACACACACACACTTATTTTCGGGCAGATAGATTTCGTGTCTGAGCATTCTCACATGACGGTGGGTCTTTCCCCCCCCCCTAAAAACAGTTAAAAAAAGAAAAAACAATATATCCTCATGCAAGAACTTTTCTGCTTCCGATTACCCCCATGCTTACAAGTTGCAACGGAAACACGGAAGCAGGGAAGCGGCTGCCCAGCTCCGGAGCTCCACACCATTTTTTTTTCAGAGGGGAATCTGTCACTCGAGTATAAGCCGAGGGGGGGGGGGTTTCAGCACAAAAAATGTGCTGAAAAACTCGGCTTATACTCGAGTATATACGGTATCTATACATATTGGAATCCTTCCCCAGGGAACTTTCCAAAATCTTCCATTTTGCATACTATCAAACTATGGTGTTCCCCTTTATTTTGTGTGCCTTACAGATTTATTATCAGATTAGAAATTTTGGGTATAACAAAGTAGTCCCACCATCCCAATTTTTTCATTAACAAATTATAGTTATGGCTAAATTTAACTCCAAATGATTTCAACAGCTCATAAGCAACAATTGACTTTCATGACTTATGACAAAGCTAGCTGAAAAGGGAGGCACATTATCCAATTGCTTTATACCACATCTCTTTTGTCTTTTTAAGGCTAGTACAGAATGCTGTTTCTGGTGGAAATATCTAAAAAGGCATCTTTTTGGCCATGTTTACAATGGCACACATTGTGGGCATAAGGGGCCAAACTCTGCCTTTATTACAATAATATAAATCCACTATCCTAAAAATGGAGCACAATTTGGCTCAATACAAATTGGAATGGCAGAAGTCTTCACACTAGAAATACCTTCTGGATAACAAGTCCCTAATTTTTCCTCCCCCACCAGAAAAGGCTATATAGGAATTATAGTGAGGCAGGATGTTACATTAGATATGAAATACAAGATCTCCTATCAGCATTTCGATGAAAAATACCATACTACACAATATCAAACCATATTATGACAATGTCCATTATCAGACACTAGTTGCAAAAAACCAACGCAATTTGGTATCAACAAAACTTCTTCCTTGCCAGTTGTCTAACCAGTTCAAAGCAAGTAAATGAGATTCCATACTGGTGTCTTTGAGACAATGCATATATGTCCTTGCAGATATACCACAGAATAATCTTTCAGGTATAGTTTTATAAACGTCCTGAAATTGAAAGCAAGATGAACTGGTTTTCAGAAAACAATACTCCTTAGGAAGGTGTAATCTGCTCTGTGTCTTAAAAAAGCAATGTCACCTACATCTCACTGCCCCACTGAAAATGACCAGTGCAAATTTACAAATAAAATGATAGAGAAGAGGTAAAGTCTACAGGACATGAAACAACGAGAAGATAAACATTACTGTAATGTTAATTTTTTGGAATGAGTGGTCTCTCATCTCTCTTTTTCCAGATGTTTGTTTTTCCTTCTGTCTTAGTTAGACGTGGTCTTCCCTGTTTCTTCCCAGGGGGAGGACTAGCCTCGTGTTTTTTTGCTATGCTTTTTCTTCTAGGCATCTCTTCCGGGGACTCTTGCTCTATGATGGGGTCATTACTTCCTTCTGGCACATGCTTCACAGCTTGATCCTCCGGGGTTGAAACCATGGTCCCACATTCACTGGTATTCAGATCCAAGTCTTCTAGGTAAAGTGTCTTAGAATGCTGAGTGCTTTTAATAAAGGTTTTCTCCCTCTCCAATTTTCGACTTGGATTATGCTCATTCATATCCACACCTGAGTCTAAGCTAGTATCATTGCTCTCAGTCTTCCTGCCCTTCTTGAGATCAATGAATGAATGCCTCACTTGAGCTATTGGTTTGCCATCCAGTGACACAAACCATGCTCTTGGATTTGGACACTGTTTTCCTTTTGAAAGCTCCAGTAAGGTTTGCTCTGAAATGCCCTGAAGTTCTGATGAAAATGGTGTCATCACCACTGCTTCATTTAACGTTCCGGGGACAGAAACCGACTCCAGCAAGCTACTAGTGTAGCGGCTCCAGTTGGCAGTCTGAGGAGACAAGCCTTGTTGCCTATCTATAGCAACTGTTTCATCTCTGGATGTTGGTTCCTGCAAGTGAGCGAACATTGGCATTTTGGGCAACGTCTGTGTATAATTTTCGTGATTCATACTCTCCATCACAGGGGTGTAGACTAACTGTCCTTTTCTTGGTAACGTAGCTGACTTTGTAGCATGCAATTGCTCCTGGGAGTGAAATAGCTCAGGTGTTTGAAGCATAGCACCAGGCTGGCTATAGAGATGCATTAATTGTTCTGGGAGGGAAGAGAGTCCATAGATTTCCTCAGTCGTTGGGAGATATTGATTCTGTTCTTGTACATTTTGGGAAGGAGGAAGACTTCCATTGAGATGTTTAACTGGTGGAAGATGTCTCAATTCTGTTTTGGCTTCCAAGGACTGGGGTGAGCTCCTACACTGGAGATTTTTACCAGAGAATTGGTATGGAGTACCTTCTGTGTAAACTTTAAAATTGTCTTGGACTTGCCTCTCCTCACCTTCAGCTGAAACCCGTCTCTGGGGGCTATAAAATGCCACTCTGGGTGAATACAATCTAGATTTGTCCTCTGGCTTCAAAGATTCTTTGGCTGCACCAATATGATTTATGTGAGTTGTTGAAGTTGTTTGGTCTTTTCTTAAAATGTCTAGTTTAGTTGGACTTTTCTTTCTCTTTTTTGGACGACCACATTTATCCCTAAAAAAAGAAGCAAAATAAAAAAGAAATATTAAAACTATGTTTTAATATATATCAATGCAATTATCAGTAGTAATAGTTTAACCCCATCAGGCTCATTTATGTAATTTACAAGCTTATCTTTCTTGTAAAGAAAGAAAACATCCACTTAATTTCGGATTTTAGCAAATTGTATGTACCTACCTACATTTGAAGTAGACTATCACCACAACTAAATCTATATATTTTTTAATTGTACATTCAGCAATATTCTTCAAAAACAGTATAAAAGAAGAGTGTTACGGAACAGACAAATTAGCGTTTCCTTTAAGTATAGAAAGTGGGCATGAATTGTAAATCAATTATCTTTCAAAAGCAAAAGCAACCTGAGCACTAATCCGATGTTTTCAAACAGTGCATATTGTGATCAATTATGGCAAAAAAAAAAAAAAATGCATTACCATCTTATCCTGTCTTACCTGCAAAAGCAAAGCAGAAGTGCAAAGAACCCAGCAATGATAGTGATGGTGCCTCCTAATATCGCCGTGAGGAATACTGTGTGGTAGGCAGTGATATCTTTAGTAACTGTTGTAATAATGGAATCTGTGTTTTTAATCAGAGAAAGGAGATGCAGGGATAATAAAAGTTACCATTTTTGTACTAGCACAGACTGAGCATTCCTGTATTTCCTGACTGGGTTTTTTCCTGTACATTCTGATACTGGATTTTTCAGCAAACAAGGAGACATGGCTGCAAGCCTCCAGCAAAAACGGAATAGAGAATTTCACATCAAAGAGCATCAGGTCTACAATGTATTTATTGTAGAAGCAGTTTAATGGTATGCAAGAGGCCCTGAGATCAGTTTCATTCATTGTCTCAATACTGATGGGGTCCTACCTCAGTCAAAATCATTCAAGCAATACGCATACAAGTAATTCACAGGTTATAACAGCAATTGGGATCAGAATTTGGGTAGTTAAGTGATGTGGTCATAAAGTGTGACATCACACAAACTTCATGGCTTAGCAATGGCAACCTCAGCAGTCTAGGCTGCCGTTGTACCCTTAAGAAAGCACAGGTTGTTAAGCAGGAAGAGGTGGCAGTTCCAGGCAAAAAAGCCAGTGGGTGAGAGCTGCAGGTAAGAGCTATGAACAGATGGGGAATTGCTAGGGAAAGGGGGCAGGTGTGCAGGTGCAATGGGGGGCACTGCAGGGAGGCACTATGGAGTAAAGGTAGACACCTAGGCCTGCACATGAGTAGATGCCACAGGTGGGTATTACAGAGCACATATGGGGGTATGGGTGCCACAATTGGTGGGAGGTGCCACGAGCAGGTATTATAGAGAGCGTGCTGCTGGTGAAAAAGCATTTGAGACCTGCTGGCTTTCCCATTGATTTTTGCTTGTGGGAAAACTATCAGGAAATGTCAGAAACCATGATCACTTGACCATGAGCACACTGCAGTATCATAATTGCAAGCCAGGCACTGGTCACCTGGGTTGCAATCATGTGACCATGGGGATGCTGCAATGGCTGGAACTCCAAGGAATGGTTGTAAGTCCCCCTGATTCAGCACTGTCATAACTTTAAATGTCACTGAATGAGTAGTTGTAACATGAGGACTACCTGTATATAGAGAGCATTTACCCAACAAGATACATAGATCTGGGTCATATTAGATAAGTAAAGCATACTATATTCACATGCACTTGTTCTTCCTGCTGAGGGTTTGAATTCACGTTCAAGCAAAAATTTAATATCCAACCTGAGTAGACTGGATATGAGAGTGAAGCTAATGATCCTGACCCACATACACATTAGATTTTGAAACATGTACTTTAAATAGGACATTGCTTCACTCTAGGAACTCTTTCCTAGGCTCTTATTAGGAACTGAATTACCATGTGTACTAGATGTTTAGTAATACAAATCTGTGCATATCCTGTAATACCTAATTGGAATATTATAAGAATATTACAATTTATTATGACTCAAAGTCATATTTTACAAGCCTAAAGAAACTCTACCTTCAATATAAACAATAGAGATAAATCTCATCATCCCAATTAAATTTGGGAAGAGTTAGACTTCTATGTCCTGTGTTCTGACTTTATGAAAATAATAAAAATTAAGACAGACATGACATAATTTCCATTTCCCCAGTTTTACCTCTAGCTCCAGACAATGGGGCTGCTATCCAATATCCCAGACTTGGAGCAGTATATGTCCATACTAAGTGATCGTCCATGTTCTTTACCATTCCCAAGCCACGATTAATCCAAGCACCTATAAGACAAAAATAATAATAAGATGCTTTCTTTCAGACTTTCAACTAAAAACAGATGAATCAAAAGCTTCAGGCAACTCTTTTATACTCATAATGATATACTCATAATGAATGTATTAGAGGCAGATCCACCTAATCCAGCATTGTTTTTCTAAAAGTAGTTAATGATGTAGTGCTCTATCTTTTAAAATACCTAAAACAGGTAGTCCTCATTTAACAACGGGTTGTTTTACATAGGAAGTCATAAAACTGGCCTGCCTGACACATGATCATGTGATGCTCAGGGGTCAGGCAGGCCAGTTTTATGATCTGTTACAGTGTTACATGGTCATGTGATTGTTTTTTACCGGTTTCAAATGAATGGGTTTGCTTTATGACTGTAATATTTGCTTAACCACCACTCCGAAAAGGGCTGGAAAATTGCTTCTGGTCACATTTGCAATCATAATTCCAGGATCAATTACGATTGTAAATTGAGGCATAATCCAAGTTATGTCTCAAAGCAGTTAAGCATTTATTATTAAAACGTAGACTTTAAATCATATGCAGGTTTTTCCAAGAATGTATATACAGGTCAGCCCTTTGGTGACATCGGCGATTGGGACTGGAATTTCTGTTGTTGAACAATGCCATTGTAAAATGTGAATCACAAGGACACATTGCTTAGTGACAGCAAGCCTGGCTATCCCAGTTGCCATTGTAACCCTAGGCCTAGGATGTGTGAGGTTTTAAAAGTGAGAAGAGGCAGGCATCCAAGGTAAGGAGTATGTGGGGAGGGGTATCATTGCTGCGGGCATGTGGAGAGTGCTACAGATGGATGCTAGGGAGCTTGAGCAGGTCTCAGGTAGGTAGTTGGTGGAGGCTGTGGGAGGGCAGGTAGAGGCTTCAGGCAGATGGGATAGTACTGCAGTTCGGCAGGTGGTGCTACAGACTATGATCCCTGGGGTCTGATGCTCCATAGTGAATTCCTCAACAACAACAACAACAAAAAGATGGCAAAATTTACTATTTACTGGAGCAACCTGTAACCTTCCCTCCTGGCTTCGTCATTGACTTTGCTTGTGAGAAGCTGGCCGGGAAGTTCACAAATGGACAATCACATGTAACATGCCTCACTACATCATCATCATTGTGAACAGGGTACCAGAGTGCCCAGATTGCAATCAAAAGACCGTGGGGATGCTGCACCTTTTTAAAAAAGGCCGTAAGTTTATTTTTTTTCAACTCTGCCACCACCATAAACAGACATAAACTGAGGTCTATCTGTAAACTGCAACCTGTGCTCAAAAACTAAATAAAAATCCTAGATCAGATGGATTTGCATCTAGGAAAGCATATTTAGGATAATCTCAATGGGGATTTTTTTTTTTTACAAATAAAGGAAGCTGATTAAAACTAAGCTTTCTTCCAATCATAAGCAATACCCCTTGGCTATGAGAAAGCACTCACCTGTTTTCATATCAAAAGTCCAGGCTGAGATAGGTTCTCCTGCTTTTACCGCGCTTGTAGGCAGAAGAGGTAAGGTGATCTGAATGGAGCCATCTACCTGCAGTTCTTTCCCACTCGAAAATATGTTTACGCAAATTGCAGCAAGGGGAGTCAGTTCAATACTTTTGAAACCTAAACATACAGAAAAGGTGGTGTTAATTTACTTTTCCTGTTAAGGAAAACATATAATAGTTTTGAAACAGCTTGATAAAATGAGTGCTGTTTGTAAGTCATACAGAGAGGGGTTTTTTCTCCATCTCCTGTGATGGAAGTGTCAAACTCGCAGCCCACGGGCCAGATGCCTCACACACTGGCCAGATGCATCATGCACTGGCCCAGGCCCGGCTTAGTGAAGGGGAAAAAAGTTGTGACGACAATGCAAATTTGACACCCCTGTCCTATGGGTTCCTGTAAAACCATTATAGCTATTTCATCTGAACCTGGAATTATTCCACTCCTGAAGTAGAGACAAAAGTGCTTCTGCATAATTACTGGTAGTAGCAGCTTTGTTTTATTTAATGTTTTATTACATTTCATACATAGTTATGTCTGTAAAAAAAGTGTCATTTACCACAGTAGTTGATTAAAGCAATCATATGTGGATTTAAAAACAGAATGAGTACTGTCAAGATTTTAGTATATTTCTTTAAAGGAGTAGATGGTCATCCTCCCCTATACTATTTTCTGCTGAGCAACCCCCTTTTCCTTTCACTTGTATTTTTCTAATTGTCTGATTATCAAATTAGATATTAGGTAAAACTATCCCACTAAAGTAAAAAGAAGTCTGAAAACATATGCTCTAATGAGCTTCATTTCAGTTTAGAAATATGAGCAATGTTGAGCTTAACCACCAGATGGAGATAAAAACAGAAAAGCACTTACGTTTCCAACCGTTCATAATTAAATATGGAAGCATGTTTAGATAACACCCAACCCAAGAGAGAGATTAAGAAGTGACAGATCCCATTCACCACCCAGGAAGGATTTGGCAAATGAATGTTTCATACTAAAGTACTTTCCAAGGAATATTGACATGTGAATACTTGCCAATGGATTGATACAGCAAAAGGGACCAACCACCAGTTCTGATTTGTAGAGTGTTTTATCTCTGCAGGCATTCAAAAAGCCAAACAAGCAGCAATGTAAATTGGCTAACCTTGATTGAATATACCTTCTCTCCAAAATTCCAAGCTATTTCTTAGAACTATTAATGTTAGAATTGTTGGGTTGTAGGGGTTCTCTGAATCTGATTTTTCATTTGTAAACATTTCATAGCCAAATTCTTAGATACCCCAAAACATATCAATTCTTTAAAAAGATTGTTTTTCAAAAAGTATATTGTTTTTGCATCATCATTTTTTGTGTTTCCAGGCATCTAAATTGTCCAACTTGTCAAAAAAAAATTTTAATAGTTTCCTTGTATTGTGTTTTAATATCTTTTTCAGAGGTTCTGTCCTTTGGTGGATAAATTACTCCATTCCACTCTTCCTTTGCATTATCTACTTTCATATGGTAAGTCCATTGATTTATTCATAAGTTCTTTGTAAAAAGTAACCTTGTGTTCATTTGGAGCAGTGGTCACCAACTGGTGGTCCGTGGACCACTGGTGGTCCGCGAGAAAATTTTGGTGGTCTGCAGAAAAATTATTTGCATTTTTTATATTGCCCTAAATCAGGATCCTCAAACTACAGTCCCTGGGTCAGATACGTCTAATTAATGTTTGTGTTGCTGCAGAGAGTCTCTCCCTTTGGGGTCTTTTTGTGTGGGCCAGAGGGGGGCAGAAATTCCGACTTGGGGTCTGCTTTAGCCTCCTGGTGTGGGGCTTTGGGCAAAGGCTGGAGGGAAGTGCCGCTGGTGGCGAAAAGCTGGAGGGCCTTGTTCCAGTGGGACGTGGCTTGGAACGGGCTGACCATCTCAGCCCGTTGAGCCTCCAGGTGCCAGTACCTGGCCTTGCACTCTTGCAGGTCTTCTCTCTGCTTGGAAAGTCTATGCTTGTAATCTTTAGTGAGGTGTGCTTCTGTTGAACCCCCTTCTCGGTCAGATCTAATTTGAACTGAGCCAGCTGTTTTGCCAACTCTTTCTGGTGGTGGCTGCTTAGCTACAACAACTGCTTCCTGTCGGGGCCCTAAGGAGCCCAGGCAGGCAGGCAAGGAGTGGCTGGGAGGGGAGGGGTGAGTAGAGGCTGGTGAGGCACCCCTCGACGTGAATCACATCGAGTTGGCCACGCCCACCCAGTCACATGACCATCTAGCTACGCCACCCAGCCTGTCGTTAGGCAGATCATATTAACGATCTGTGGGATTAAAATTATGAATTTAGCAGTCCCTGAGGTCCGTAAGGTTGGTGACCCCTGATTTAGGACATAAATACTCACTATCAAAATCTTGGCCTCCTGTAAATTAGCTTCACCCTCCACATATTTACCATGATCCTCAGTCAGTATCTGTTCTGATTGTTTAGAAGTTAAATTTGTTGTTTATGTTGCAATACTGCAGTTACAACTATAAACTAACCAGCAAATATCAGTTAACTATACCATATGTTAACCATCATTAAATGAATGGTTGTAAGTTGAGGACTATCTATACTTCCTCCTGAATGGTAAGGAAGAGGGGTGGAGTCATTAATATGTCAATTATGCAACAACCTTTCCTGTTTGCTACAATCTTTCCTTTTGGCTAAAGTAACTATCTCAAAAACATTGAAAAAGTTTAAGGTAAATTTTATTTCCAGATAAATAATTTATTTTAAAAAGAAGCAAACCACAAGAATTTTTGAGGAATATTTTTATTAAAAATGGTTTTATTCACATTTTCCTTCCTTATCTTGCTACATTAATAAAGTATAGATTACGTTTCCCTGTAGCAGAAATATTGAGTACATATACCTAAAACCTCTCCTTCAAATGATATATGCATCTATGGTCTATTCTCAAATTAATATAAACTTCATTTCTTCTCTTTTTGGTTTATTTTTTTTTGTCCTACTTATCATCTTTGTCATTTTCCCCTATTGCTGATATTTATCTATTTCATTACAATGAAAAATAAACATAAAATTTCAAGTAGAGATATGTTGAACATTTTGGCTTTGGCACTGTAGCACATCTGGAATGTAAAGTGTATCATTGTGTAGTTTTATCAGCTTATAGTCTCAAGAATAATGTCTCCTTATGTCTGCTAAATATAAACCATTATTCATCTAGAAGGTTACATTAAAAAGGCCACAATAAGGGGATGAATACTGGCACAGAGCTTTTAAAGATGAGGTAAGAATGATAAACCCTCAAGAATTAATGATCAGTCTGACTTACCTGATTTATTTAAAAGAATTCCTGTTGTATAGAAGAAATGCTCCACTTTTAAAAACTGTTGTGGCACTGTAAGATACGCTGTTACATTAGTGATATGGTGGTTTACAGGAAGTTTAATTAAATATTTTGGAAACTGAACACTTGGCTGAGATTTCGCCTCTGAAAAATAGGTAAAATTTTAAACCAGGAATTTAGTAATGCTTTGTTTAAATAATTTTATGACCAAATAAGAAATACTTTTTTATCTCTTTCCAAGCAATTACATGTAGTTGCAAATGTTCTAGAATTACGCTACATGGAAGCTAACATTAAAAAGATGAGAGCATAAGACAAAACAATGATGTATGCAGTATCCAATTACTAAGGTGATACAAACAGAGCTTATAAAGCTGTCTAAAAATATAACCAAACTTAGAAAAAAAAGATGAGCTTCATTTGTACACTTCTTCCTAACAAAAATATTCTTATTCTGCTTTTGTCATCTTTAATCCTAGTTCAGAATGCTCCATCATCATTTATACTTTAATTCTAACCTGAAATAGATTTTGACAGGAAAATCAAGAGAGAATATCTGCCCTAGTCTTTTGCAACTGCAAATACAGGTAGTACTTGACTTACAACAGTTCATTTAGTGACCATTCAAAGTTACTGAAAAAAGCGACTTATGACCGTTTTTCATACTTACATTTGTAGCATCATGTGATCAAAATTCAAATGCTTGGCAACTGACTCATACTTATAACCATTGCTGTGTCCCAAGGTCATGTGATCCCCTTTTGACAAGCAAAGTCCATGGAGATGCCAGATTTACTTAATAACCGTGCTTGCACCCCATATATTAAAACACAATGCTGGAAACTGTACTGACTTCGGCACATGGCTATATCTTAAGAGAAAATGGTTTGCAAACCTGGGTATGTTCTGTTCTTACTTACCAGATAATTTCCCAGTGATTAAAACTGTATCATCAAATAACCATATATTTGCTCGGCTTTGGGGGAACAATGAAAGTGTAACAGATGAATATACTGTGGGAGATAAAATAAAATTATGTAAGTATGTATTAAAACACTGTTGCCCTGAAGTGTAGTAAAACTTAGATGGAAAAAGCTGTATCATCTGAAAAACATAATGATTATTTTGACTTTAATTAAATAAGGCTCAGGCTCAATTCCATGGATGTCCCATTTAGCAGACTTCAGATACAATGGATCACTTTTCATTTTGAATAACACTTCTGAACAAAGGATGCCTGTTGGTTGGTAAAGAGGAGTCAGGCAAGAGTTACTTTTCTCAGGTCTCTACTAAATCAATTTTTTTCCACAATGAATTTTTCATAAGATCATCGTAAGAGTCATGGTGGTGCAGTGGTTAGAATTCATTATTGCAGGCTAATTCTGCTGACTACCATCAGTTCAATCCTCACCGGCTCAAGGTTGACTCGATATACTTCTGAGGTCAGTAAAATGAGGACACAGATTGTTGGGGGCAATATGCTGACTCTGTATACCGTTTGAGAGGCGGTAAAGCACTGTAAAGCGGTATATAAGCCTAAGTGCTATTGCTATCATTGTATGACCAAAGTCCTAAATCTCTCAACACGTTTTTATATTTTTCATATATTACTCATACACTTGACACACTTTATTTTAAAAATGGAAATTTATAGATTTTTGTATATAAGCCTAATACATTTTATTATAGACATTATAATTATAATAATTATAATTATAATTATTATAGACAACATAATGAAAAAAGTATGGAAATAACTTCAGCTAAAATTTAGGAGTACAAATAGAAATCTGATTTTTACAAAGATCAGGATAGGATTTGCTTTCCTTTCTTCTTGCCTTGGGGAGGAGGAAATAGAAGATTTATGTCAGTTTGAGCATAATTCTTTGTAATTTTGCTAGAAATGCTCTTTACTTTTTGGGTGAATAATATATTCAGGTTTTTTTTTCATATGTATCTTAATAAAAAGAAATGAAGGTAACAATACATACAGAAACTTACGTATTGATATCTCCATTTCTCCCCCTTACATACAGAAAACCTTAATATGGATTTTAATTTTACATTTAATCTGCTAAACTTGTTATTTTTTGGTGGGGAAGCATGAGTATATGTCCATTTATGCATGCATATTGCTAGTTGAAAACACAAGTTATTTTCAACAAAAATTCGACCAGATGATACAATAAGAGATCTGAAAAACTGGGTTTGACAGGGAAAGCGTTAGCCAATGAATGCAAATAATACATCAATGGCAACAAAAGAGCAAATACATAAAATTCTGTACTATGGTAGAACATTTAGTAAAGATGGAAAATGGATTGACAAAATTTAATTGTGCAAAGGCTAAGAGAAAGATAATGTATCACATGTGATCTGTTGTGAGAAATGGATGTCAAATGTCTGTGCGTAAGAGCATACTCCTCCTCATTTTATTATATGGAAGTGAGGATTTGGTTTGTTAGGAGAAATAAAAGTAAATTTAATGCAGTGAGAATGGATTATTTAAGTGGCATGTGTATAAAAAATAAAGGAGATTGGGTGAAGATTGAAAGGGTGATGAATACAGAAAAAAGCAAAAATAAGTGACCAGCATGAAATAAATGAATTAAGTGATTTATTCAATGAAAATAAAAACCAAATCACAGAACAAATATAAAAATATTATATTATTTTATATTATTATTATTATATTTTATATAAATATAAAAAAGGAAAGTAAATGAATAGAAAGGAAGGGAAAATGGAGAAAGCTAGATAAAAAGCATATGCCACCTAAAGAACTACACAAATTATCTTTTAAAAATTGATTTAAAGAAAATATTTTTAAAATGGTGTTGTTCAGCTTGCTTACTTACTTGGCATTCTCCCAGTTTTCCAAGGTAAAGGTGTTAACATGTAACCATCTTTATAAGAAACAATGGTTAAACTCAGGCCTAGCTGATAGGGAACCTGTATCAGTACTGCTCCATTCTTTCCAGTTAGCGTAGAATTTGTTTTAGTATAGTTGACAAAAATGTCTACAACAGCGTGGTATAGATACTGATGACTGATTATATCATTAACTTGCACTTTTAGGGTAAACATAGGTCCTACAAGAAAAAGAAAAGAAAAGAACAATCTCAATTATTTTAGTTAAATTCCAGATTTTTTTTTAAAGAGTGGGGTCTCTGATTTCTTGGGGATGCATTTTTGAACATCTAGGAAAATATTTGCAGGTTTCATGACTTGAGAGAAAGCAAAACACAATCCATATTAAGCTAAGAGTTCTATGGAGAAATAGATATTTGTATTTTCTTACTTATATGCTATAAAGTATACACTGATTTTGAAGACCCATAAAGATGACTCATGTATATTCCCACCTTCAAGTGAAAAAGTGGAGAGAAAGTGTGATGTGAGCTAACCAGTACAAAGTTCCTCTGAATATTTATGAGGTACATGGTGGAGAAAAATAGAATAAATACATTTCACCATGCAAGATAGGTTGATTTCAATCACAGTTCCTATTTGGTAGTTCACAGTTTTCTTCAACACATATTCAGTTACACAAATAACAATAAAAATATTATTTCATCTGAAGCTAAATATAATTTTTATAGAATTTGGAAGCTGACAGTCTCTGAAAAATTACACCTACAGAGAGACAAAAGATTTGTGCACTCTATATGTTGCAAATGCAGAAAGCAAGATTATTTGCATCCTAATATAAATTGCTGTATAATTGTTTTGCTAAGCTTTGTTCAGCAATAGTGAAGGATCTTAAATCTTATTTTTCCTGGAATATTTTGTTACCAAAAAGCAAATTCCCATACGCCCCCCCCCCAAAAAAAACCTTGTTTTTCCTGAAGATGCCATTTCACTACAACAGCTAATATTGTCATATTAGCTGTCATATAATAGTCTATAGCTACTGTTTTGATTTTAAGGCCAAGAAAATTTAACCTGGAATAAAAATGCAAAGGTTAGAAAGCTGTTTCCAGAAAGCATGAATTAGGAAAAATAAATAATGTCCCTGCTTGATGGAATTGGTCCTGATTGGAAACTGAAGACATCAGGTATGGAAGCACAAGTAGGAGAACAGGATCATACTACAGATTGTGACGAACACAGCATCTCTAATCACTTTAGACCTGCACTTTCATGTTCTGGTATAGAGATTAAATATACATTAACTCAGATAAAACATGTTACCTTTGGCTCACAATTTCTTGAATTACCAGTTAGAAAATACTTAGTAACTAATGTGAAATTCTTGGGTGGACTGACAGCCTTCCAGTTGCAACCAATTTTTCATTGACTGTTTCAAGTTACAGTGAAGGTAAACAAATAGTACCTTATGTCCAATCCCCAACGTTACAGCTGCTACAGTGAAGTCATGTGATCAAAATTTGGGCATTTGGCAGCTTGCTCTCATGTTGCTACAACTATCTCTACTTACCTCTCTCTACTTACCTATTCCCCCATCTCTGCTCTTTTGGGCCCCTGCATTTCATAGTCTCTGTTGCCTTGCACTCTGCCGCTTTCTGTCCTTTGCTGTCTTTTTGTTTTTGCTGATCAAGCATATTCAGCCTGGCTCTTCACAAGCACCTACTGACTGCATGAGGTCTTTTTCCCAAGATCGCATGGGGCGGTTTCCTCATAATATTACAGAATTACATGTGGCCAGCAGGTTGCCTCGTGATGGGCTACACTAGGCATGCCCAAGTAGCAACGGACAACAGAAGGTGGGCAAGGTCTGGTAGAGAGATGAAGTAGGGAAGCACAAAGCTACAGATGGCTTGGAGTACAGGGCAATGAGGGCAACTGGTGCTTTGCTCCATGCTGCTGGGCCATGATGGCTGGTGCTTCATGCTGTAGTGCTGGGCCCATCTCATGTCATCCAATCGCATTTCCAATAATGAGGATAGAAAGATGTATGGAAGGGAAACGCAGCTATTGCATCCAATGGACATTTTCAAGCACTGGAAGATAGTCCTTCTTGGAAAATCAGGTGAGTCCAAGTATTGTACTGATTATTTGTTGTAGAACTAAGAAAACCCACATTTATGTTCTCCTCCTGATTTCCCTCACAGGTTTGTTGAGGTGGCCATAAAATAAAAGAATATCCTCCCTCTCTAGTAGCCCACCTTGAGCTTCAAGAAGAAACACAGAATACAAATGCAATAAATAATCTAATCTGTTCAAGACTTTGAAGTTCACTAGCACACATTATTGTGCAAAGCAGCTTCCATATTGGCTCTATACTAGCAAGCAATCAGTTCTGGTGTTCAGAAATAAACTAAGTGCTTTTTGCTTATTTATTAGTGCTACTTATAAATGTAATCAATAATGGGTGAATGCATATTAAAAGAATATATATCCTCCGTGGAAACAGCAATGGATTCCTGGGCGCTATGCTTTCAGATATGATTGATTTCCATTTGAATTCCTGCCAACGAAGGCTGGTTCACATGTTTTCTATAGCTAATGTAAGGACAGACACTTGTAGCATCATCTTCTGTTTTTCTTATAAACAAGTTCAAGATTCTGACATTCTTTTAATACATGTGGAGGCAGTCTCTCCTGTAACAAATTGTCCATGTTTAGGATAAAACTGCTTATTTAGAAATCTCACTTCCTCAGATCCTAATAACTGGGTATCATCCTCTTCACAGCTGTTTAATGACCTAGTTTTGTTCAATATTCTCAAATATAGGACTATATGGCTATCATATAAAAGCTTCAGTTCCACAAATATATGCTTAAAGAAAGGACTGAACTGTAAAGGAATTACTATCAACTAAATATACAGGCTTGGGATATAAAATGCTTTAAGTTTTGTTTTCCAAATACAAAAAGAAATGCTTACTGAAGTCAGCACTTTCCAAATTCTGTTTTTATTCTCTCAAGAGTACTTCTTAAATACAAATAGAATCTTGAATTTTATATCTGAATCGGCCCATATTTCATTATATGCATTTTGAATACCCTTTTCCTAATTTCTTATCTGCTAGTAATTACATACCATGATGGTTGCCCCTGGAAATCTGGGAAAAAATGGTTGGGGAGAGGGAGAGTAGTGCAAGGTGTTGGAAAACTAAGTGAGGATCTGGAAGGCAGCTGCAATGCTATGCAAAACAAATCAACTTCATGAGCTGTCAGAAATGGCAGTTGCTATGGGCTGCCGTTCAGGTTGCTGGACGTAAGGAGGATGATAACCATAACAGAATGTCATTAGAGCTGGCAGAGCCGGGGACTAGAAGAGTCCCTTAATAAGGTCTAGAATTCTACCATTGTTCCCACTGTCTGACAGGCTGATGAGAATTTCTCCTGCCACTTTTGAGTGGCAAGGAACTGGCTTGCATAGGGAGGAAAGAGGGGTTTCTCCTTTGCTTCTCCACTTGGTACTGTCGTTGTGCTCATAAGATCTTCTGTCATAGTGTATGGAATTTCACATTCTCTTCCTCGGCACTAAATCAGTCCTGAAATCTTTTGACTGTCTTTTCAGTTTGCCCTATTTCAAAAATTCCTTATGTATGCTTCAGATTTTACTAGTAGCTACCTCCAATATGCATTTCCATCTCACTTGCTAAAGATCTTGGGAGTTCCCACATGCAGGGTGATTTATTTGGTCATAGCTGAATGAACACGATCATTTTCCATGTCTCACTCATGTTATTTCCTCCTCAGACTTATTAGAGATATGAAAGGTGCACTGACCTATAAAAAAGAAATCTGTTACCTCGAAGATACCAGTCTTCTCACTGCATTAACTCAGCATGCACAGTATCATAGAAGGCCAACAATAAAAGTGGCTAATAGATTCAGCTCACCCCAGTAGGACAACTCAGAGGGAAGCTGTGCCTCTCTGTGTGAGTCTGTCACAGGTTTGGTGGTGGGCCAGGCACATAAACACAAGACTTTTTCCTCTAGTGAACTGATAAGTAGAAGATGAGAATAGGAGCTCTGTTTCTCTTAGGAAGATGTTGTTACAGGAGAAGGAATGGCTACTGTGCTGCCACTAGAGCAGGCCTGTCAAACTGGAGGCCCGTGGGCAGGATGCATCACATGCAGGCCACTCCCACCCAGCTCCGCAAAGGCAAAAAACATTGTGATATGTCACGATACGTCACGTGACGTGATTGAGTTTGACACCTGTGCACTATAGTCTTAAAAAACAACAAAATTAACCGTGGGAAGAATTGTTATTTGCATTTAAGTGTACTATGCATGTTTCGTGCATTTTTAAAATTCATAATGAATACTTCAAGAAAGAGGACCTCTAAACTGATTACCATTTCCATTCAAATATTAATTCCAAAACTTAGTTAAATGGGGCTGTTTTAACTTTTCAGTGCATAAATCCTATTTTAAATTAATACAACAGGAATTGGTTTTTTTAACCTCTGTATTGCTAGAAAAGGCCATGAGAAAGTCATATTATGAATAAAATGATGATGTTACCTAGTTGGCTAATGAAGTGCCTGCAAGAAAATAACCAAACTCAGAGAGCACGAAGGACTCTACAGTTCAACCCTCAGCTACAAATATTCTCTTCTATTCCACATAATGATCTTCTAAATAAACCATAATTGGTATAGTGGTAAAGCTTTATATCAATCAAGTCAATATGCAACCTAATTTGGGCTTCAATTGTACAAATATACTATAAAAACAGAACTTTTCATGTTTTTATTCTACCTGAATTGCTTAACATCTGAATTTCTCCATAACTAGTAAAATGCAGAAATGATGGGCAACAGCTAGTGGCATTTTATCATGCTTGGTGGACATATGAAAAAGCTAGAAAATTTTGGATTCAAATATATTCACTGATTCAGAGGCCTTTGAAGATTAATATACAATTAAGACCAAAGGATTTTCTTTTGGGATTGATGGACGAATAGTTGGAAAAAAGATCTGGAATTTTGTTTTTGTATATAATTGCAAGGAGGTTATTGTATGCAGAAGAAATAGAAAGATTAGGCTTTGCCCACAATGGAGGAACGGTTGGTGAAAATGATGGAACTAGGCAAAATAAACAAATTGACTTATTTGATAAAAAGACAATAAATTTATTGCTTACCCTTTATGGATTTTTAAATTAGAT